TTAATACTCATATAACAATGCTGTGTATAAATAGCAGTTCCTTGATTTCCAGGAAGTTTATGATCTACTGAAATCACCTACTTCTTTTTATTACCAATTAATTTAAATCAAACAATGAAACAAAAAAAATGATAATAGGCAGCCTTGAAGTTAGCTTGCAAACAGTGTACCAGTCAGTAGCTATTTTTATCAAAATAGCCAAGAAGACAGCAGCTACTTGAGTTGTGGTTTCAGCTGGTTCATTTCCTGTGTGCACTCACATGAATTGTCTGCCTTCTCTGACTCCTTGCCTCCTCTTCTATAAAAGGAAGGGTTTGGTGGTCTCCAAGTCTCCTGCTGTACTTAACATGTCCCACCACCCCAAGGTTACCACTTAGGCATTGCACTGAAAACTCCAGGCTTGCTTACATTCCAGCATATCGGGAATCCACGCAACTCCATCTTCTACCCACTCTCCCTAACATCCTCTCTGGGCTCCAGCCTCTATTAGCTGGCCCTCCGACCTGCACCTGCTTTTATCACCTTCTCTCCACCCTTGTAATTGGTGCTCTTTGTTTCCAGTGTAACTTCACTCAGAGCCCTAGTTTCTGGATCTTGCTTGACTTTTCATAGCAGCTACCCTAAACCCACCTCCTGGGCTCCAGTTGTTGCCCAGTTTCACAACAGGAGCACAGGGAGGTGCTCAGCTTTGTTTCCCTGCCTACGCAGCAGCTCTCTACAAGCCCCTGAATGTGCAGTTTCACCAGCTGTGTCTCAGCTTTCAACCAGTGCTTCACAAGTGGCGTAGATGGGATAGCCAGGGATGAGGATTGTGTTTTCCTTCTGATTCAAAGTCATTTAATCTAAAGACTATTTCCTTTTCAAGACAAACTCTTTTTCTTTCTTTCTTTAGTCTTTTGCCTATGTTTTATGTTTACTTCTAATAGACTCTCTCTCTCTCTCTCTCTCTCTCTCTCTCTCTCTCTCTCACACACACACACACACACACACACACGCGCACACACACACACAGTGTACATACCTCACAGGAAACGGAAACTTGCCTCCATTTGGGGTCCTGAAACAAAGCTCTGAGGTACAAGTCAGGGGTATTTTGCTAATCAGATTTTCTACACCAGGAAATGAGTGTAAATATCTACCCCCCCCCCATTTTTTTCAGAAACAGATTATGAACAAGTGGAAGTCAAAACCCTCTTTGAATACAATTCTTGGAAGTTAGAAATCGCAATTACCATTATTTCCCCATGAAAGGCTTTGCAGTACTTAATAGTTTATCTCCATGACAACCAGATGAGCTGAGTTTTTTTTCTGCTATTTTTTCTTTTTTTTTTTTTTTAATTCACATGTAAATCAGTTAAAATATGTATCCCAACACCTCATAATTAGTCATTTACAAGGCCAGTATGAGGACGGGCTCCCCTAGTTTGGAGGTCAGATAGCCTCCCCAAAGTAGGCCATCAGAGTTTCAAGAAGTTGGTTACTTTGTTTAAAGTGTTGGGCTTTAAACAAAATTTACTAGCGATATGACTTTATATAATTTAATTTATTAACTCCCTCGTATTTGAGTTTTTTCACATATACCTTAAGAACTGGTGAACGGATGCATTAGATAAGGTGTGAGCAATTGCCTAACAGTGCCAACCATGTAGGAAGTGTTCAAAGTCTTCATCCTTTTCTTCTTTTCCTCAGGGGCATGGGCTGTGGCTGGGCTGTTGACATTCCTGCTTCACTGGTTCCCGGAAGGGAGGAGGCATGCAGTAGTCTCTGTTAGGGCTCTCTTCCACTGCTGGTGGCAAAGCCCTGCTCCGTGTCAGGGATGGGTTGGCCCATTTAGCCGGTTACTTGTGAAACAACTTGTTCTCTCAGAGAAGCAGCTGTGGCTGTGTGCTGATTTCACAAAAGGGAAATCCATCCCTTCACCAAGTAGTCAAGCATAATGAAGAAAAACTGGCAGAATAATTGGGGTAGTTGCTGGATCTCACTTAATAGTGTGGGAAAGAAAATATATAGAACAGCATCCTTTTTTGGTTATAAAAAATATCACCTGAGGATATTTTCTCCATTGATTTTTTTTTTAAGAGAGTGTGGGAGGGAAAGAGAGGTGGGGGCAGAGACAAATATCAATGTGAGAGAGACACATAGATCTGTTGTGTCCTACACCCACCCAACCAGGCCGGGGATCAAACCTGCAATCCAGGCACATGACCTTGACCAGGAATCAAACTTGTGACACTTTTGTCTAACTACTGAGCCATGCTGGCTAGAACAACAATCTTTAAAAGGGGGGTGTCCACCTCTGTGTGTGGAGTGCTCAAGTACAGCCAGTCAAACATGCAGAGTCAAATAGAGGGTGTGAAGGTCACTCAACGCTACAGGTAGACCCAGAATTCTAGGCAAAATACCTGATGAGTTGAAAAATGAAATATATGCCTGAAGATCTACCTCTTTGTCTCTTAGCATCTTAGTCAGAAACCTCAACAAAAAATCAGAAGACAATCATGTAGATATAAGTGGTTCAATTTTAGGGTATTTTTAGGTTTAAGAAATTCAGGATCAAGAGAAAATGGTTCCTTCATAGAACCGTCTTTGAGTAGAGCTACTGCGTAGAGTACAGAGGAAAGTTGTTGCTGGAAGTGAGGCAAGATGAAAGCGCAGGGACAAGATCATAAAGGAATTTGTCATCTTAAAGGTTTTTATTTTTTTCTTATCTGGTGGATGACATAATGCACCAGAATTAGAATGTTCTAGAATGTTTAGAATTTATAATGGTTCCAAGTTATCAACCTAATTCTATACAGTCATGCATGACAAAAAAAAATACATAAATCGATATCTATTCTCATGGTTATTGTGATGGGTAAAAGTTTCTCAGAAGTTCCAATTCTTTCATTGAGGCACCATTTTTATAGACCTGTCCATTAATATTCTAATGAAAATGTTATCAATGTGGGTTCTGCTGTATTGAAAAGAGGCAGCATGTACTAGTATTAGTGGTTAAGTGTTGGACTCTGGACCCAGATTGTCCAGATTTATATCCATTAGACTGGTGTGACCTTGACAAAATTACATGGCCTCTGCATGTGTCAGTCTTGCCAATTATAAAATAGAGGCCATAGCAGTCCTGTCTTCAGATCAGAAAGTGGTGGGAAGTAAAATTAATATAAGGCACCTTATAAATGTTAACTCTTACTAGTTCTTTCCGTACTGTTTTTGCATCAAAGCTGAAAGAATTCTTATGCACTGGCTGAAATGGCAA